CAAAAAAAAAAAAGTTCTATATATTTCCATGTTCTAGCGGAAGATGCATTCCGATTTTGCTCATCCTATCGATCGAAGTAGCCTCTTTCTGTGTGTGTGTGTGTGTGTGTGTGTGTGTGTGTGTGTGTGTGTGTGTGTGAGAGAGAGAGAGAGGACTTAGCTGCATTAGAGGGTTTAGAGGACTCAGCCCTTAACACTACAGGGAAGGTTCTTAAGGCGAGCGTCCTTTCCATGCATGCGTACATAGATAGCAAGATGGACGTCATGCAGGACACCCTGGACCAGATCCTGCAAGCGCTACATAGGCTTGGGATCCGACCAGCAGCTTTGCCATCGCGGCCATTCTCAGCGATGAAAGGCCCTTATGCCGCGCAGTCTGGTCAGCAACCAAGTCGTACCTTCTCAGGAGATAAGAAGGATGAGGCACTTGTACCAAGGTTGAGAACGGTTCCAGTGTGGGTCAGGGCGAAGAGGACGCTGGTAGAGGAGGAGGTGATTGTTGTTGCATCCGACTTAAAGGGTTCAGCAGCTCGCTGGCTAAATGGATTAGTAGCTTCCAAAGGGTTCGATAGAAACATGGGTGATTGGGCCAAGACCCATACCCTTAAAAGCTTTATGGATTTGGTAGAGGCTCGATGGCACAACCCGCAGCAGGCACAGATTGCCACTGATGGGTTATTGAAACTTGACTCTAGGAAGTACAAGTACGTGAGGGAGCTGACCACAACCGTAGAGCGGTTGATTGTCGTCCCAGGAGTGGAGTATAATCTACAGGTCTTGCTTACCATGTTCTTAAGATGTCTTCCCACAGACATCAAGAATCTTTTAGCTAGCGAGGCTCGCTTAGAGTATCACACTTTTGAGACCTTCAGCAAGAAGGCCTTAAATTTAGAGGCTACATTGGGTGGTGCTTAAACCCCCCCCTACGAATGCGAGAAAGAAGAAGACTCCGCAAGAGTGGAAGAAGAAGGGTAGTCGATTGATGATGGTTGATTCCGATGGGAATCAAACTGAGATTGATAATGTTTCTGAACTTGTGGAGGGTGCAGAGTTAGACGGCGAGGATAGTGCTTAGAGGAGCAACCTCGCCGCAGCAGTTAAGACTAAGGCAAGTGGCCGAGGCAAGGGCGGTCAACAAAGGAGTCAGGGGCAAGCCGCCAACCCGAACAAAATAGTTGCTTGGGTTAGGGCCGGTTTGGATCAAGATGTGTGGCGGGACCGTTGGCAGCGTGGAGCTTGCATAAACTGCGGCGAGTATGGCAACCAGCAGTTCAAGTGCAAGAACACGAAGGTCACGCAGAAGATCGCTCCTAAGGGTGGTTTTTCTTCTTCTCAATCTGGGGCCTCTACGAGCTCCAGCTCGGGAAACAATTAGGGCCAGTAGAAGTTGTAGCTGCTTCTACTCTCGTTGAAGCGGGCGATGAACCCTCCCCGTTTCAAGAGTTGGCCGAAGCTATTGGCTTCTTAGTCACCCCGCAGACGCATCTGGACCCAACTATACTTTGTACGTTGGATGTGTCTGAAGCCTTAGCGGACCTTCAACGTGAGTGGTCGGCAAGGGACCCTCGTGAGTCCTGGGTGGCACTAAGTAGAGGTCCTAGACGGGAGCATTTCGTTGTGGAAGTCGGTGTGGGTGGCCACAAGTGCGGTGCCTTCGTAAACATTGGCTCCATACGGAACTTCATAAGTCGCGATTGCATTGAGAGGCTGCGCCTAAAGGACCAGGTGCAGCACCTGGGTAGACCTGTAGCATCTACTTTGGCCAACAAGGAGCGCATGATGGTGGACTGCGTGAAAGACGTGGTCTGCACTTTCTCCTGCAACCATAAAATATCTTTCCTAGTGAGGGACGATTGACCCTTTGACATGCTATTGGGCATGTACTACCTCGAGGTTGCCAAGCCCCAGTTTGACTGGGACAAGAAAGTGCTAAAGCACGAGTTGCTTAATGGGAGGACCGTTAGACTGGCAAAATATAAGGCCAGTAGGTTAGTAGACTCCTATGGGTGCTTTTGCGCATCTGCATTCTATAACTACTATAAACAGAACCAAGAGGAGGGTATGTATCTAGTCTTATGTCTCTGCGGAGGGGAGGTCGTTAAAACACCCCCAGAGATAGAGACCATCGTCGTTAAATACCCTGATCTGTTTGAGGAGCCTACAAGAGTCGCAGACAAGGAGGTTGTCCATGCGATAGAAATCATCCCCGGTAATAAGACACCTAAAGGGAGAATCTATAGGATGGCTCCGACCGAGTTGGACGAGCTTCGGCGACAACTGAAAGAGCTCACAGAGAAGGGTCGGATTCGGCCTAGCACCTCCCCGTTTGGCTCACCAGTCTTATTTGTTCCAAAGAAAGGGGGAACATTAAGGATATGCATTGATTATAGAGGCCTCTATGCCATCACCGTTAAGAATGCAGAGCCTCTACCACGCATCGACGACCTATTGGATAGGGTGCAGGGGTGTAAGTACTATTACTTAAAATCCGGCTACCATCAGATTGCCATAAGACCAGAGGACCAGCAGAAAACCGCATTTGAGACCAGGTACGGTCTGTACAAGTTTGTGGTGATGCCCTTTGGCCTTCGCAATGCGCCGGGTACATTCCAGCACGCCATGAATAGGATCTTCCATGACTACTTAGATAAGTTCGTCGTCGTGTACCTCGACAACATACTTATCTTTTGTAATACTGTGAGGAGCATGCTCAACATGTAGACACAGTACTTTCACTCCTTCGGCAGCACAAGTATAAGATAAATGCTGAGAACTGTGAGTTCGGACGCACTCGAATCTTGTACTTGGGTCATGAAGTATCCGCGGATGGTATTAGGCCTGAAGATGCAAAGGTGGCTAGCATACGTGACTGGCCACGCCCCCAGTCTGTGACTGAGGTCAGATCATTCTTGGGAATGTGTGGTTATTACCGCAATTTCGTAAAGAACTAAAGTACGATCACATCTCCCTTGACTGATCTAACTCGACTTGATACGCCATGGGAATGGACCGACGAGTGTGAGGCAGCTTTCAAGTGTTAAAAGCATGCTCTCACACACCATGAAGTTCTCAAGGTACCCGACCCGCAAAAGCCATTCGTTGTGACCACTGGCGCAATCCAATATGGCATTGGCGCAGTGCTGGCTCAGCGGGAAGGGAAGAAGTTGAGACCGATTGCGTACATGAGTAAGAAGATGCCATCCAAGAAGTCGGCAAAGTCCACCTATGAAAGGGAACTGTATGCCCTCTTCAAGGCACTTGTCCATTGGAGGCACTATCTGTTGGGAAGGTTCTTCTGCTTGAGAGCCGACCGTCAGACACGCTTTTTTGTCTTTTTCTTTTCCCTATTTTTTTTCGTACGTGTGTGTGTGAGAGAGAGATAGACTGGGGAAGGGAGGAGGGTGAGGGGGAAGCCGGCGAGGTGGTGGGAGGTATAGCCGCGCTAAGTGCCAGGATGTCTTTTGTCTCTTGATTTTTTTTTTT